CATTGGCTGTAATTGAGCACGGAAATTCACAGCCCTACTTCTTTGACTATGACAGCTCTGATCAATGCATGAAAAAGTTTCTCAATCAGTTGCATCAATTAGCGAGAGAGATATATGATCAAAAGCGACGGTTTCCTCAATTTCTAGAAAGCCAAGAATCGTTGAACAAAGAAAACACATCAACATGTTGGATTTGCTGTATACATTTTACCAATGAGCACGAAAAATGTCTTGACCATTGCCATTTTTCTGGAAAATTTTTGGGATGGGCACATGAAAAATGCAACCTCGCAAGACGAACTGTAAATTTCACCCCAGTCATTGGACATAACATCCAGAACTATGACCTTCACCACATTTGTCTCGCATTGCATGAATGCGAGCCAACAAGTACAATGAGTGTTATACCTAGCACCGACGAAAAATATATATCGTTAAGCATTGGAGTCCTAATTAAAACTATAAAAAGGAAAAACGGATCCGAGCAAAAAGTTTTTGAATACCTCAGATTTATTGACTCATGCAAGTTTTTGAATTCTTCCTTGCAAAAATTGGTTGATAATCTACCAGCGGAAAAAATGTCAGTTTTGAACAAGTATTTTGCAAACGAGACGGAGGAGCAACGGTGTCTGATACGACAAAAAGGTTTCTACCCTTATTCGTACATGACCAAAAGAGAAAAATTTGCAGAAAAAGAATTGCCTCCTTTGCAAAATTGGTCCGATGTTTTGAATGGAGGAAAAGTTGCAGTTTCACAAGCGGATCTGGAGCATGCAAGGAAAGTTTTTAGAATGTTCAAATGTCAAAACTTGGAGGATTATCACAACTTGTATCTCAAGTGTGATACACTCCTTCTTGCTTGCGTCTTTGAAGAATTTCGACAAATTAGTCACCAAACTTATGGTCTGGACTGCGCGCACCATTTTAGTGCTTCAAACTTAGCTGGAGACGCCTTCAAACGTATCTGCAAAGACTCGAATGTTCAGCTTTTATCAGACCGCAGGCATCTCGAAATGGTCGAGAATATGATGCGAGGTGGTACTGCATCCGTGTTCCATAGTCGCTTTTTCAAAGCCAACAACAAAGAATGCCCCGACTTCAACCCAGATCAACCTAGCACCTACGGGTTTATGATCGATGCAAATAACCTCTATGGCGGCGTCATGCAAACGGAGAAATTACCGGTGCGTAACTTTGAGTTATTAGAGCATATAGAAGACGAGGTGATTGTGAACCAAATCCTCAACATGACTGAAGACTCTTTGATTGGATTTATATTGGAAGTTGATCTCGAGTACCCAGAAGAACTGCATGAGGATCATCAAGATTACCCTTTAGCTCCTACTAAAGAAAGTGTACCCCAGGATTGGTTGAGTCCCTACCAAACGAATTTACTCGAGCAGATGAAAAATCAAGACATTGCAAGACGTTCAATTGGAAAGACCAAAAAGTTACTGCAGACGCTGCATGACAAGTCAAACTATACAATTCATTACAAACTATTGCAATTGTTTGTTAGGTTGGGACTTAAAGTTAAAAAAGTGCACCGTGTGCTGAAGTTTGAACAAGAAGCATGGTTAGAACCATACATCACATTGAACACGACTAAACGACAACAAGCTAGAAATAAATTTGAGGAGGATTTGTACAAACTACTGAACAATTGTGCTTATGGGAAAACATGCGAGTCGAAGCGCAAACGGATGCTTGTTCGAATAGTTAGAGATTATCATGCCGCTTTGCGAGAAATTAGTGCATTCGAATTTAAATCCTACAAAATTTTTGGAGAAAACTTGGCAGCGTTCACTTCGAACCCAACAAAAATCTATTGGGATGTCCCAACAATTGTGGGAGCTAGTGTTCTTGAGTTAGCAAAGTTTCACATGTATAAATTTCATTACGATATAATGAAACCAAATTTTGAATGTCAACTACTGTATTCTGATACAGACAGTCTCCTGTACCAAGTCAAAAGTGAAGATTTATACCGAGAAATTTCCGAAAAAAGGAATATTTTGAATGAACTTGACTTGTCAAATTACCCGACGAACCACCCTCTCTACGACCCAAAAAACAAAATGGTTGTTTTAAAATTCAAGGATGAGTTTCCAGGAGACATTATAACCGAGTTTATATCCCTCAAACCCAAGCTTTATTCCATTTTGTCCAGAGGTAATTAATTAATTTCTATTTGCCTTATTTGTGAGCACGAATTTCAAAAAATTTTGATTTTTTGTGGAATTTTTTTTGGAAAGCAATTTCTATTTGTGGGCGAAAAAATTTTTTTTTTGTGGGCGAAATTTTTTTTTTTTTGAGGGCGAAAAAAATTTTTTTTGTGGGCGATTTTTTTTTGTGGGCGAAATTTTTTTTTTTTTTTTTGTGGGCGATTTTTTTTTTGCGGACGATTTTTTTTTTTGTGGACAATTTTTTTTTTTTTTGGAAAAAAAAATTTTTTTTTTGTTCGAAAAATTTTTCGGGCGAAAAAGTGTTTTTTTTTTTTTTTGCAAAAAAATTTTTTAATTTTTTTGGGGATTTTTTTTTTTTGTGTTGGTCGATTTTTTTAATGATGACTAATTTTTAAGGTCACACCTGGCCTTCATGTCATTTTTTTTTGTTGCACCTGACCTTCAAGTTAACATGATGTAGCTCCTAAAAAACACAAAACCACAGATTGCATTTGGTTCTTTTTTTACCACCACACATTAGTGATCATCAAAAAATTGATTAGAAATCATATAATTATATTTATAGATTGCAGAAAATTATCGGCGAAGGGTGTATCGAAAGCTGCTCAGAAGATGTTGAGCCATCAGCGATATCGAGACACCTTGACCTCTGGCTCGTTATTCAAAACTGAAAACAGTCGAATCGCATCCGAGTCACACAATCTGCAAACAGTGACTTCGACGAAAACATCGTTATCAGCTTTTGATGACAAACGCTACATCCTCGATGATGGTCAGCAGACTCTTCCCTACGGTCACAAAAACATCTTGGGTCAAACTGTGATTGGCATTGATGATAGTGATGACAACACAGCCGCTGTTAATTCTGACCCAACCGATGATGACGATTTGGAAAAATGGATGCCATTTTTTGAAGATCGTCAACAGCCAGTGTCGTGGGATTGTGACGATTTCCTAGATGGGGTGTCTGAAGAATTCGCTAACACTCAAAACATTAATTGGGACCATCCGGAAATTGATGATGAATACTCTGAGGATAGTTTTGCTGTTGAGAACACACAACCACATCGCTCGCTTCGACAACTGATGGACCAGGTCAATAGCAGTTGGCAAACTCCAGACCCCGGTCTGATTCGGGCAGCAGAAACCAACGACAGTGATATTGATAGCGGGGATATCGCGGATCTGGAGGCCAATACTTCCGATGAGGACGAGTCGTCATTCTTCAACGATTCGTTTTTCGATTATGAAGCAGTTGAAGTAGAAGAACCACGGTCAAAAAATCGACGAATAGATTAAAACACAAAAAACACCACATTAACTTTTGTATAGTAAATAAAATTCAGTTATTTAATATGAGAATTGTCTGTACATAAAATTTGACCTACCGTTTATTCCGCGTTTAGTGTGTATTTAAGTGCGAGATTTTGTTCAGCTTTGGAACTCAGTTAATCTGGGATATAAACATTTTCATTTAAGCGATAGTGTCTTAAGCATACTTTTGTATGTATTTGTATGTAATTTGAGTTTGAATCAAAGTTTTAAGAAGAATTGAGCAAACAGTCTATAGCGCAGTTAAACACTCCGGCTGGTTTCAGAACAAAGATTTGGCAAATCCTTTCCCGCTCCAAACATGTAACCACAACGTTCAGTGGGAATACTCAATAATATACCGAAGTTTTACATGAGGACTATTGGGTATAAAATTATATGTGGTGACAATTAGGATTATTACATGGTGACCATTGCTGATCATTTAATACATGGTGACCATTATGATTTATACCTAATGGTCATCCATGTATGACAACCCCCCCCGATCCTAACGCACTATATGCATACTACTAATCGTAAAAGATTCTTTTTGTTCGATTAGTCTTAAGTTCATACATTTATTTGGTTCCTGCTTCACAATTAATCCGTTCTTTTTTTCAATATTTCTCGAGTTGATTGAACTTAGTCAAATGTATTTTCTGTTGGCTATATTCCAATTTTTTGCGGAGTTATATAAATATAAAAGTAAATATTAAAAACACTGATTTTGTAGAAAAACTTTCAAATTTCAAAGAAAAAAATAGATGCCCTTTAAGCTCTTTGAATTTTTGAACGAATTATGATTGGCGTTTTTTGACTCTCCAAATACGACACTCTCCAAATACGAACGTGTAAATGGCGCAAAAGATCGCGAACGATTGCTAGTTTTGAAAGTGGAATTTAATTTTTAGATTTCCAGCAGATAAAAAGTTTACCCGTTGATCCAGTTTTCTCAAATTGGGTTACTGATATCAAAAAACGGCAATCATAGTTCGTTCAAAAATTCAAAGAGCTTAAAGGGCATCTATTTTTTTTCTTTGAACTTTGAAAGTTTTTTCTACAAAATCAGTGTTTTTTATATTTACTTGCGTTCATTACTCTTTTCCTCTTCTTCGATTGGCTATGTTCTTCGAAATTTGGACATGAATCAGAAATTAATTCGAGCCATTTTATACAGTTAACAAAATGCTCTTAAAAATTGAATTGCCCCACAAGATGGGGTTGTGTTCAGACATTTATCATATATTTCTTTTTAATTTAATTTTTTACCGACAACATATTATTTTTTACACAACAAGATATCTTGGTCTACAGTATTAAATACTTCTTTGTTTGAATAAAATAGATATAGATGGCCTGACGAAAATAGTAGTTTTTCTTAAGAACTATTAATTTCTGCTAGGGAAACGCTCAAAGATCTCTTGAGTAATTAATGTATCTCAACCTGTTTTTAGTTCAAAAAAAGTTAAAATCACGTTAAGTTAATTAATATTTTTAAAGGGTCTTCGTTGCTGTACATCGCAGCCCGAAGCGGTTTTTACGACACCTGTGAGTTTCTTCTGGATAAAGGAGCCAAACCCGGACTAGCTTGTGGATCCTCAGAGAGCACTCCTCTACATGCGGCATCCTATTATGGTCACGATTTAGTTTGCATGCTGCTTATATCCAGGGGCGCCAAAGTTGATGCCAAAAATAAGTTCGGAAACACGCCCGCTGATGAAGCAAAAACACATGAACTTAACCAAAAATTGCAATTATTAAAAAATGGCGACAAACCTTCACCAATGGCTAGATTGACAGGGAGTTTATGCCTTGAAAATGTAACTCATAATGGAAAAACTGTTGCGCGTCTTTTGAGGCTTCAGAATATAGAAATACCTAAGAACTGGCTGCCAGCATGGCATGGAACCAAATACAATTATTTGAATTCGATTCTGAAAAACGGATTGCAACCATCGGGAGCGGTTGTAGATGGCGTTAATGGAGTTAATAACTGGGCGAGCGCTGTGTTCATCTCTCCCATTTTGATATACGCAGGTAATCGGTCCGATCCTGCATCGGACTCGACAGTAAAAATTTTATTAAAAAATGTACTTGAAAGGTGGTTAGAGCTAATTCACCGTGCTGAGTATTATGGCTCTTTTTTTTTCGATTTTTTTTTGCAATTTTTTGCTTTAAAGTGATCGAACTGTCAGCCAAGGTCATAAAATGATTCCTCATGTAGTCTCTAACGACAATTATGGTAGCTAGGGAAACATTAAAAACTTCCTTCAGTGAATTCATCAGTGTGTTTCAATAAGGGTCATTGAACGAGTGTACACATTTGTTTACTCGTGTTTTTCTTAATTTCTAGAGGAAAAACTTGATCAAGCACAAATTTGATTTTTCGCGGTGTTCTTTGTAGTTCCGTTTCTTTTATAGTTCAATTCAAATTCATTTGCTGAAAGGAATTCAAACTCTTGTTTCTGTATGCCAAAGTGCAATTGACGCGAAAATACGTGAGTGATTTAAGGTTCGAAAAAGGATTTAAATATTATGATTTTTCCAGCAGAATAAAATAATTTGCTATTCAACCCAATTTTGGCGAAAGCCTTTGAGCCATAAATATTACTTGAAAGGTTGAATTGGCTTAATTCGACTTACTTTTATTGTTCCGACTTTCGATACGAAAGTAACGGAATATTTGTGCTCGGGGTGGTTTTTTTTTTACTTCAGACGAATTTCGACTTTTTAACTAGCCATTTTTGACGGAGTTTTTTTTACATCATTCGAAAGCTATTGTTTTCCTGAGCCTAAATTTGAAAAGATATTTCAAATGTGATCATTTTTCGTAAAGTTATGAGGGTTTAAAGATTGCCATTTTGGCCATATGGGACAATTAACGCGCGACATATTTCGCGCTATTAACGCGTAAGCGAGATTTAATCCGTCTTATAAATCGCTCCAAATTGGTTGAACGAAGCCTATTTGCCATAATTGATTTGTTATAAGGAACGAAATCTATCTTTTTGTACTTTATATGGCGTGTGGGGGGATGATTTTCATAAAAAATTTCAAATTTTAGAAAAGTATTTTTAATTAAATTTTTAATTTTTTATGCTTTTACTGCTGCTCCATAAACCTTAAAATGCAGTCGAAACATTCAGGGCTTCGGCCTGATACGAGCAGTCTTGTTGTTCCGACTTTCGATACGAAAGTAACGGAATATTTGTGCTCGGGGTGGGTTTTTTTTTTCTTCAGACAAATGTCGACTTTTTAAGTAGCCATTTTTGACGGAATTTTTTTTTATACCATTCGAAAGGTATTGTTGTCCTGAGCTCAAATTTGAAAACATATTTCACCTTTAATCATTTTTCGTAAAGTTACGGGGGTTTAAAGATTGCAATTTGGGACAATTAACACGCGATATTTCGCGCTATTAACGCGTAAGCGGAGAGTTAATCCGTCTTAGAAATCGTTCCAAATTGGTTAAAAGAAGCTTATTTGCCATAATTGGTTTGTTACAAGGAGCGAAACCTATCTTTTTGTACTTTATATGGCGTGTGGGGGGATGATTTTCATAAAAAAATTTCAAATTTTAGAAAAAAAAATTCATTTTTTTTATTTCATTGAATTTTTTAATGTTATTACTGCTCCATAAACCTTAAAAGGCAGTCGGAACATTCAGGGCTTCGCCCTGTTACGAGCAGTCTTGTTGGTTTTGCCATCTCTTAATGTGTAGCTGGATGAAAATAGAATTTTGTTTGTACGCGTGGATCATAGGAAACAAACACATGGCATAGTTACTAGATATCGTTATTTTGACATTTTTACATTGGCAATTAGCAAGCATTATTAATTCGGAATATGTTTTTTTTTTCAGGTTAGCACTTCTCTAATAGATTAAGTGTGATCATTTGATGGTTTGGGGTATAATATTTCAAATTCGGTTTGTACGATTGGCATGAAGTTTTTGTATCGCAAGTGTTGTGCGGCTCTGTTTTGCCTATGTGATGTTTTAACACGAGTGAGCTCGCGAGCATTGTTTTATCACAAAGTGAGCGTTTTTGAAATCCAATTTGCAAATAAAAAGGCTCATTTTGGTTGCACTACAGTTACCTAGTATTGGCAGCTTAATAGGACATGTTTTAAATTTAATCATCGGCAAGTGTATCGTTTCTGGAAGCGTCAGGGGCAAAGTTGTGTAGTGAAGTCGACTTGAATTTTTGGAGTCCGAGGACTAAGGCTGGTTTCCCGTGGAGGATATTTAATTTTCACTTTTCTCTCTTTAAAGTTTTTAAATCTACTTCTGGGCGTTTTTGTCGATTTTGTTTACGAAGTGCAGCTTCGCGTCTGTGTAAAACATTTATCAACAATCTTTTTTCTAATTTCTGTATCAAAAATTGAAACAAATTGTGTGCATTGCTCTTGAGATAACCATGGGTTTTGCAATCGGGTGCTGGATTTTTTTTCCCGTAAATAACTGCTCACAGAATAACTGAAGTTCTTGATAATATCCAAATCTGTTTTTTGCCAAAATAAATGTTTTGAGCATGTCTGTGTTTTAACCTCCCGTTCTAATAGATAATTGCTTTTTATACTGTAGTCTTGTAAGTCTGATTTTAGTATTGTTCACCCTAGTTGCCTCATTGCTTCGTTTGTTGAGCAAAAAAGTTTCCGATCTCCATCTTTTGCGAGAGGGAGTCTTTTGTTTTTTGAGTGATCAAATTTTTATGAAAGCAGTTTTTTCGACTCAACCAGTGTCTGCTCAAGAGCTGTCGGCCTTGTGACCGCTTTATAAGTTTTGTTCTGATGCTTATTTTATTTTAATTATTCACCTTGGCATGCTGTCTTTAAATTTTGGTACATCTAGTTGTGTCAACATTTAAGACTTTTCTCAACTTGGGCGGTTTTCATCGCATTTTCAGCCGGCTTCTTTCTCCAGCCATATTTGTGTTACATCGCAAGTGGTGGTAAGCTTGACGAAATTGTCAACAATGAATTATCCAGATTAGCCGCAACGTCTGACAAAACAAAAAGTAATCTCCTTTTTTACTTTGCAGGTCATCCGACATACTCCGAGCGAGTTGTTATTGACGGCGAGCAATGGTGCGTAATTGTCTGTGTTTTGTGTCGACCGGGATCGTTTGGATCTTACCCGAGCACGATTGTTAGCAATGACCCGGTTGACGGCGAACCCGTAGACTCCGAATGGCGAATTAACGTGGACGGCGATAACCTTATTTGGAGAATGGAGCAAGGTTCGAATTTTCAACCCGTTATAGGTTTAACTTCGCAGATAACATTAAATTCAGTCGTAAAAACCCATGCCAACCAATTCAGATTCACTCAATTTAAGCGTTTTTTTGTTTGACCAAGGCCTTGCAGGTAAATAGTAGGTAACCATCTCTTTGTACTGACCACAATTTGTCCCAGTTTCTAAGCCTGCAGAGCTGATGTCTTTGCGTCTCAAATTTAATGGTACCGCTTAGCTTTATATTTTATGAAGTGTAATTTTTGCTCGATTGGCATAATTAATTTGAATTAAGCACCTCTTCAATATGTGAATTTGTGATAGGTACAATCTCAGCTTGGGAACATCGTAGTTTTCTATATTTCAGTGCTAGAACCAGATTTTGATTTGTAAAACTCAGTATGACTCTATTTGGGCGTGTAAAATTGCGTCCATTCCCGTGGAATTTATTTTTTGTACTGTAATGGAAAAATGTTCAAGGCTCTAAGAGTTCAAGTCTGATGGTGACTGGAGCTGTTCTCGTTGACATCAAATTCTTCGACTCAATTGGAAGCATCGGAGGTTTGACGTATCGCGAGGCTTCCCTGTTGGTTCACACTAACTACTCGCAAAAATGAAGTGTTTGCCTGTAGCGTTAGTTTGAAAGTGACGAGAAATTGTTGTATACAGTGCCGTTAAGTGCAATTTGAATACAGTGCAATTGTAACCTATTTCTATCTTCTGTCAAATAATCTGAATTATAATTGAATCTTTTATATGGGTCCTAGGAGCTGCATGTTAGAATACCTGGGATCTATAATTTGTAAATACTGCAATGAAATCTTGATTTTGTAAATTTTAGTGATTTTTCCTCGAGTGAATGAAATACGTTAAAACTCGTTTAAAATAAATGCAAATAATTACTAAAACATACGTGAACTTTCGTTCATATTTGACTTAAAACCAGCCCTACAAAGGCTGCGTTGTGCTAAAATTGTGACTACTTCTTCTTGAAGTAAATATCTCCTTTTTCGGTGCTTTTTCAAAATTGAAATAATATCAACTGATAGGTGCTTACTACATTTTTATTTGAAAATTATATTTTTCGACGAATAGTTATAATAAGAATCTATATTTTCAAGGTTTTTATTTAAAATTTAACGTCCTTATACCGCAAATGAAGCGTTTGCTTGAAACTTTGAAAAGTGACCGGAAGTGATTGAATACATTGCTGTTAAGTGCAATTTGAATAGTGCAATTGGAACCTATTTATATCTTTTGTCAAATAATCTGAATTGTAATTGAACCTTTTATATAACCGTACGAACCTATTTCTTTCAATTGCAATTTCTTTCTGCAAACCTAATTTTCTTTTGTCGAATTATCCGAATTATAATTGAACATTTAATATAGCGGTACGATTTTCATTTAAGGATACGTGGGTTCTAGATTTCTAAATACTGCAATGATTTTGAATTTTAGTTATTCTGTCTTGAGCTATTAAAATCGTTATGATTCTTTTTAAATAAATATTTAAACATACTTGAATATTCGTTGTTATATGAGTTGAAACCAGCCCATCAACGGCGGTCTTAATTAGTTGTCAACGGCGGTCAACATTAGCTAAATTTATTGTGAAGATTTCTTGAAATGAATATCTCCTTTTCTGGTGCTCTTTTTTGTAATTGAAATTATATCAACTGATAGGTGCTTACTAAAATTTTTCATATTTTTTGACAGAATTATACAAATAGAATTTATTTTTTGAAAACTTTCTTTCAGGCTGAAAGTCATATTTACACTGAACCCAGAATCAAGTTTTAATCGTTGGTTAACAACTTGATTACTAAATCTTTTCACTCATTTGGTCAAGGTGATTTCGTCAACATTAGATATAATTTGATTGTCTCCATGTAATTTTAGCATGTCCGGTGGTCTATCTCTTTGTTTTTCTCTATTTGATATAAAAGGCTTTAGCCTATGACTTACTGGTTAAGTCGAATGTTGATAGCGAAAAAAACTTCCGGAATTTTTGTGTGTGTACTTTTTAGGACCCTTCGGCAAAAATTTTCTCTTTTCAGAAAATTTTTCATTTTTTTTTCTTCAAAAACGACTCGACCAATTTTCAAAAAAGTAACATCAATGGGAAGCAGGCCCACTATTATATGTGCCTGCTTTATTCTATATTCTTTTTATACATCAATTTGCTTTCTACAGCTTTCCAAAAACAGCTTTCTACAGCTCTTTCTGAAAACAACTCAATCTGATATCAAGGGTTTAATCGAGGTTTTGTGAAGCCTTCTTGCATAAGTTGCTACGACTTAAAGTTTGTACAAAAAAATATGTCTCTGGGAAGTTTCCAAAATCACAAAAACTTTCACTCATTTTTTAATAGACATCTAAGGTTTTAAGTGAAGCCCACTTTTTAAATTTCTTAAATTATTTGTTTCATCCGGCATCAGTACAACAAAAATCAAAAATTATCAAACAGGTACATCCGGCTCAGCTGCGCCTCTTGTGTGTGTGCGTGTGTATGTGTTTGAGGAGTTGGAATTCAAGTTTCGAGTTTCAAAATATTTGATAGCTCTAAATTTTTATGACATTTTTTTCTCGGGCAAACTGGTGTTTGCTCAACCAATGTTGGCTAAAATTTTGCTGCATAAGTTTTGTTTTGGTGCTAATTCAATTCTGGTAGTCGTTTTAATTGACACATTTTTCTTCAAAATGAACTTAAGCAAATCAAAGCCCGCGTGTGGAAAATAACAGTTTTTCGAGTTGTGGGCTTTCGTCTTTTCTATCTGCTAGCTTGTCATGTTTCTGTTTTATTGCGTAAATGTGGGTTTTTGCTGAGGGACCTTTCACATTTGTGTAAATGTGACCTTTTGCAGCTGATAGCAGTCATTAAAAACTATGCCTAGCCAGTGATTGTCGCCAGTTAACTTGCTGCTGTTACTGTTGTTATAAAGTTTTCTCAGACTTTTACCCGGGGCTATCTATCCAGTCAACTGTCTACCTAACCATCTAACCAACCAATCATCCATCTATGTTCAAGCATAATAATTTTGCATGTTTACCGAAAGAGTTTTTCATGTTTGAGCTATATCATATATTGCAATGCTTAAGAAAATTTTCACTTAGTTTTCCGCAAGGTCATTAATTTTCAGTATTTTTTTTTTGCGAGGCGAAATAAGTCTGTCTGTCTGTATACCTGCTTTGTTAATTAATTTGATTATGTCTGTCTACCCGTCTCCTAATTTTTAACTTTCATCTATCTATTATATATTTAAATACGGGCTTCACTATCTCGCCATGCTAAGGCTTTTTCAACGTATTATTTTTACATGTTTAACAAAAGAGTTTTTTTCATGCTCATGCTATATCGTATATTACTATGATTAAGGTTTTTTTTCGATTTTCCAGTTTAAGTTCAGTGTTTAATTTATCAAGTTTGAAATTAACAACCTAATAGTGGGATGTTGTCAGAGTTTTCCCAGCTTTTGCGTTTCTGGCCTCCATATATGAATTACCAAATCCTTGTAGTTTACGAGATAGGCAACTTTCGAGATTTTTCGAAAATTTCTAGAAAAACTAATTTTAAAATTTTCTCAATTTTTGAAATTCTCGTCCTTTAGTTAGGTGCTGTTAGGGTATTCTCAGGAGTTGCGAATCTGGCTCCAAATCTGACTTTCGAATCCTTGTAGTTTTCGAGATATGACGTTTTTTATGATATTTTAAAAAAATGTTCAAAATTTAGATTTTAAAAATTTCCAAATGTTGAAGATCTCAATCGTGTTATTGGAATCTGTGAGGAAACTCTCAGGGAGTTGCGAATCTTGCCACTGAATATGGTTGCTCAATTATTTGTAGTTTTCGAGATATGACGTTTTATAGGATTTTCTCAAAATTTTTCAGAGAACTTAGCTATAAAAGTTTTCACAAAACTTGAAATTACCATCTATGTAGTGAGGCTTTGTCAGGGTACTCTCAGGTGTTGCGAATTTCGCCTCCAAATTTGACTGCTCTAAACCTTGCAGTTTTCCTGATATGATGTTTTTCGTGATTTTTTCAAAAAATTTTCATGAAAATTAAATTAATTTTTTTTTCAAAGCTTTAAATTCCTAACCTGTAGTTGGGGGTAGTCAGAGTAATTTCAGTGGTTGTAATTTAGGACTACAAATAAGAATGCCCAAATAATGTTAGTTTAAGAGATAAGACCTTTTTTGTGATTTTTTTTGGAAATTTTCAGAAAACTCAAATTACAAAATAATTCACTAAAGTGAAATTCCCAATCCTGTAGCTGTGTGCTGTCAGAGTAATTTCAAAGATTGCGATTATTGCCATCAAATAAGACTGCTGAAATCTTGGTAGTTTTCGAGATGTGAATTTTTTGCTGGTTCTCAAAAATACCTTTTTTTGGAAACTTAAGGTTACGTTTCTCAAAATTTGAATTTCTCAAAGTTGTAGTTGGGTACTAAAAGAGGACTCTCAAAAGTTGCACATCTTGCGTCCAAATGCGACTTCTCAATTTCTTGTAGTTTCCCAGATGTGACATTCTTTAGTTCATTTTAAATTTTCGAAGAACTTATAAAAAAACTTCACAAATTATTATGGTTCTTCAAAATTTGTATGAAGAACTTGAATAAAAAGCTTTGCAAAATTTGTAATTACGAACCTTGTAATTGGGTGCTTTCAGAGTACACTCAAAGAAGTCAGATCTTTTTTCCAAATATATGCGGTTTATTATGAGTACCGGAGGTGCGTTACACGGTAGTACTCAATTAAAACCGTGATATATAACAATCTATCTATATTTATCTATAATATATTCGAAAGCATATGACACATATCTCGCCATGTTTAACGAAAAAAAATTTGCACTTCACGGTTTATCGTATTTTGCTATGCTTAAGAATTTTTTTAGATTTCCCTGTTTATGAATGCTAGTCCAATTGAAAGGTCCGGCTGTAAGGCTGAGGCTATAATGCCAGCATGAGAGGGAGAGGTTTGAGCTGTGTAGCGTAGTGTCCAGGAATTTTCGTACTTCTATTTATGTAATTGGCGTTTTTTTTGCGTTTATCTCACCAATTTTGAAATTAGTAGCCATATAATTGAGAGCTGTCAGCGTTGCACCATGGGTTGAAAAATTGGCCTCCAAATTTGACTATCTAAACTTTTTTAGTTTTCGGAATATGACGTTTTTCTATGATTGTTTGAAACATTTTCCTAAAAAAAAACAGATTAGAATTCATAGTTTGCACAAATAAAGGTGGCTAGGGGAAAGTCTACGGTATGTCACTTAGGGGGTGGGAGATTGTACGCTTGGTCTCAAGATTTTTTTGCTAACAGGTCGCGCACCAAGTTGCATATTGCAATTTGTTTGACTTTGTGTTTGAAAAGTGAATTTTAGTTTTTAGTTTCACTGAGCGTGGGAAGGACATTTTTATAGGTCGTGTTGAAGTTTTTGGTAGAAAATCTTGAACGATGTTTACGCTCAATGATATCTTTTAACAGTTCGACTCCATTGGTTTCTTTAAAGTTCATTTCAATTTTATCTGCTGAAAGAAAAACAAATCACGCTTATGAATAGCGAAAGTTCAGGTGGCGTGAAAAACAAATCGTGGGGGAATATAGCTTCGAAAGTAAGTTATGAGTTTCAAAATTTCCAGTGGATCCAGTTTGACCCAGTTTTCAAAAAACATCCAGTCTCAAATTGATCTACTTAAATGAAAAAATATTGATCACGAAAGGTTCTTAGAAATTGAAAAGCTTTGTACTTCTTTCTTTCGTAATTTGAAAGTTTCAAAAATCAGCACAACTGTTTCCTTTAGTTCACTGACACTCCAATTTGCAGTTGGCTATGTTTTGCAAAATATAATTGTATTATTGTGATATTGTCGATCTACTTTATTTTAAAACAATTGTTACGACAACTTCACTGAAATTGACTGCCATTGTTCCTTCCTTTTTTGCCATTTTTAAGTACTTCAAGCAAAGGAACTGATCGAATGTTTCCTTGTTTTAATTACGCGTTCAATCATACAAAAAACTAATTAGTCTGATGAGTTTGAAAGGTTTTTTTTTTCAATTTGTCTGAGTTAAAATTACTCTCGATTATTTAAATTTTTCGATTTAAACAGTCTATGAACTTTGTGAAGACTCTGATATAGCTCGTGAACTTTTTTGTCGTTTTCCCTGGAAAAGTCTGCAGATTTTTTCAGGCTCAAATTTAGTTTTTTTTTGAGTTTTCACTTTGGTTTTTAAGTTTCCAAATTGAAAGGAAGGCAATTTTCACTATTGAGCAAAAAGTGTAACGGTCAAGACAAACGTGATCGACTTCTAGTTTCGAAAGCGGTTTAATTTTCAGACTTCTCTGCGATATAAGTTATCTATTGAACCTGTTTTCTCACAATGGGTTATTCCTATCAAAAACTTTTCAATAATAATTTTTTTTGGTTTAAGTTTCTTAAATTGAATTTTATTTTATTGAATTTTATGTAGGTTTGAAATCAATTCAGTATTTTGTGGTGCACTTGCCTTCAGTGACTCTTCTCCAACTATCTGTTGGTTATGTTGTTTGGAATTTGGAAGCGGATGTTTTAAAAACATTTTCTGCTTCCTTGTTCATTAACACTTCTCCGACTGTCTTGTAGCTGTTTTTTTTTGTTTTCTGTAGTTTTTCAATTTTCGTTTTTTTTCATCAAATATGCGCCGTTTTTCACTAATGAATAAGAAGCGTAGCTTTGCCTCTGTCAATATAACTTCCGATGAACATTACGATTAAATGCATAGATGATTTTTTTATGTTTGCAAAAGCATCTGTGCACAAGTTTTAGGTACTAATAGGAACTATTTTTTGTCATCAATTTTGGCCGATCAACACACAAATTTATCTAAAAGCACCTTGGGCACCGATATAATTTTGAGAGCTGTGCGTCAAAAATTTACCCAAAACAGCATTTTCTTTTTGTGTTGCCTGCGGTGCTGATATTTTTGGCCAATTGGGTCTAATTGGCGTTTCAGGAGTGCTCAAAAACATTTTCGGACGTCCTTAAAAAAGTTTCAGCGTCATATTCGGCCAATATCGAAAGTTGTCCAAGTTTTTGTCGAAAGTTTTTCATTCTTATCTTAGTCAGTAGGATGCAGTGAATGGATCCTTGTCTTAACTGTTTTGAAATTTCTGTTTTAATTTTTTGCTAAAACTTGAAAAATATCTCATTCATCCCGTTTTTACAAATATTTTGTGTGCAGTCAATTTTGTATCAGTGTTTGTCCAGTTAATTTTTGTTCCGCGTGAATCTGGTAGATAATTTTGTTTCTCAAGTGCTAAGAAATTCGACATCGCCTTTGTATTTAATTGAAAGGGCTATGTTTTTTTAGGATTTGTGCAGTTATAGAATATGTAAATCATTGTTGGATTTTCCTTGATTTATATATATTTTTTCAAATAAGCTTGATGTAAACTGAAATATTATTTTACCGATGGCTTGTCGAGTCCGGCGACTGAAACCATATCGAGACGATGATCACGTGACCAACGAACAATATGGCGAAGAGAACACATATTGCTACCAAGCGAAAGGCGGTTCCTGGGTTTACATTCCTCAGTTCATCAACCCATACCATAATTTTCAATTGAGAAAAGGAGCAAGTATCGGTGAATGTAAAACCGCATTTCGTGACCTGGTTTCAACTCCTAACCGCCAAAAACGCATGTTAGTTGCATACTCTTGGCACATGATAACGAACGAAGTGCTTTATTGCATTGGAGAAAGGACAGTTTGTGACGTGTTCGATTATGCAATTAGTGGTGACACAAAAAAATCTGAAAGCTGAACTGGCAGAATACCCAGGTGCACTAGAATGCACAGATACTTCTGGTAAGAGCGCAAATAAGTTGTCTCATTCTTAGACTGAAATTTTTGGTAACTGCAAAACTTCTGCGTTGAAACTTCTTAGGGTTGTCTTACAAAGTTTCGCAACACATAGGCTCTCAATCCTTTACTTTTTGTGTGTAACCGTTTGAAAAGTGCGGTTACGTCAATATCTGGTTATACGACTATGAGTGGTACGATTTTTGCTCATTGATGATTAGGCATTTGTTTTCCAAATTTTTGTTTGAGGCGAAGCGTCTTAAGTGTACTAAAGTTTTTGAATTGATTTTATCCTCATTTATGGCTAGACCTTTTTTCTCAAATTTTCTTTAAGGCAAAGCGCTTTGAATATTTTAAAATTAATGTTTTTGCTGAATGATGATGACTTGGCGATTGTTTTTCATACTAAGACAAGGCTCTGTCATTTTAATGAGATGAATATGTTGATCTTTTTTTCTCATTGATAATTAGGCGTTTTCCCCTAACGTCTGCTTAAGGCGAAGAGCTAATTGTGTATGAAATCTTTTGTTTTGATATTTTTGCTCATTGATGGCTTGGCGTTTGTTTCCCAAATTTTTGTTCAAGGCAAAGCACTACTAACGTATCAAACTAAAAATATTGATATTTTTGCTCATTGATGGCTAGGAATTCGTTTTCCAAACTTGTTTAAATGATGCGGTGTTAATTTTTTTGTCCATTCATGGCTAGGAACTCAAATTCTAAATTTTTGCAAAAGGCAAAGCGTTATTAATAAAATATACTTTATGTATCATTATGTTTGCTGACTGATAGCTATGCTTTTATTTTCAAACCTTTGTTAAGGCCAACCGCTATTAATTCCGAAATTATTTGCAGCATAATAAGTGTAGTCATCTGCAAACAATTTTCTAAACTTTTTGATTAGTTTAGCTCATTAATTTTTAAAGCTCATTAATTTTTTAAGTGAAAAAAGGGTCTTAAGTTTAAGGTTTCTCCATAAAGAGTTTATTTAATATCCACAGACTTTTCGCATCTATTTCTTATGTGCGAAATTAAACTATTTCCTTGGTTCGTAAGTTTTTTTTGATTTAGAGACACGTTTTATAGCGTTTATTTAAAAGAGTTATTTTTAGATGTCCTGCGACTGATAACTTTTTTTTGGTGATTAATAATTTTGTTCGAAAGAGTTGCAACTAGAAGCGTGTAATGTTTTTAAACTAACTTTGCTTATTAAATAAACGTTTCTTCAAAATAATTTCTAGGATCTTCGTTGCTGTACATCGCAGCCCGAAGTGGTTTTTACGACACATGCGAATTTCTACTAGATAAAGGAGCCAAACCCGGATTCACTTGTGGCTCCTCAGAGAGCACTCCTTTACATGCGGCCGCCTATTATGGCCACGATTTGGTTTGCATGCTGCTTATATCCAGAGGCGCCAAAGTTGCTGCCAAGAATAGATTTGGGAATACACCCGTTGACGAGGCCAAAACCGATGAACTTAAACAGAAGTTACTAGAATTGAAGAAAGGCGATATAATTGCATCTTTGACTCAGTCCGTACAGAATGTGAACGCTGAAAATATAACTCATAGGGGAAAAACTGTCGCTCGTATTCTGAGGCTTCAGAATATAGATATACCCAAGAACTGGCTGCCAGCATGGCATGGAACCAAATACAATTATTTGAATTCGATTCTGAAAAACGGATTGCAACCATCGGGAGCGGTTGTAGATGGCACGGCAATCAGACCCCCAAAGGGTCATTACCAGCTGGGGTCAACTCACTTTGGAGTTAATAACTGGGCGAGCGCTGTGTTCATCTCTCCCAGTTTGATATACGCAGGTAAGTTGGTCGGATCTTGCCTCAGTCTTTGAGACTTGAAATTTATGAAATAACAGTTTGGCTTGTGTGTGCGTGTGCTTCACATAAAAACTTCCAGTTGCAGAACTTTATTGGCAATAATCATAGGGCATTTTTCGGCTCTTCGAGCGTAGTTACCGCTTGGTAAATTTGTGTCACTCAAATGCTAATTCAACGCTGGGAAATCTGTTTATCGGCATCTAAATTGAACAAAGTTGAGACGAACGCAGAGTTTTTGCTTGAATTTTACGCTTCGTTTCTGAATCATAAATTGATACAAACTAAATTCATAACTTTTGAAAGCATAAATAACGAGTTTTTCAGAATGGCTGCTATGTCTCAATTAAAACATTTAGTAGCCTGTTTTTTTTACCTTGCAGGCCATCCGACGTATTCTGAGCGAGTTGTTCTCGGCGGTACGCAATGGTGCATCATAATCTGTGTTTTGTGTCGACCGGGTTCGTTTGGATCTTACCCGAGCACAATTGTCCGCGATGACCCTATTGACGGGGAACCCGAAGACTCGGAATGGCGAGTTGACATGGAAGGCGATGATCTCATTTGGAGGATGGCGCAAGGTTTGAATTTACATCGTTGGGGTATAATCCATAAGTAAACAAAGATAGCCCATTTGGAGAAATAGCACATATTGTTCCGACAACAGTACTATTATTGAAGCAATTAAGAGTTAAGCAATCGAATTGAAAATGGCTAAAGTTACACTAAAACACATAAGAAGTGCGCTCTTACTCAAATAAGATACATTTAAAAAATATTATTATTGGGAATCCGAGTTACGTGTGAAAGGGCCATAGTATGATATCTCGTTTGACCTCCTTTGAGATTTCCTTGAGGAAAAAAATTATGGAATTCAGAGAATTTCGAAAAAAAAACTAACATGCAATAACTTTTTCAATTTTGTTTATTTTACCAATTTTCCTGTTGTTTTTTTTCCAATGAAAGGCGATGAAATTAGTGAATGAGATGATATAATAGCTAAAATAGTGACTAAACTGCTGGCGAATTCAGTTAAATTTTTATTTTTACATGCGAGCTAAAGAGCGTAGTTAAATGTTACGAATCAACTTTTTTCTAACCCAACTCGCAAATAAAAGTGCTCATTTGGTGGCAATTTTGCTCTATAATATTGGCAAATAAGTGGTTTTTGTTGAATCTGCTTTGCTTGTGGCTCTTACCTTTTTTAGAGCTACTTTTTACGAGTTGCAGCTTCGCTTTTGTGTTGTTCCCTCATTCTATCTCTTTTATGAGATTCGTTCAGCCTTATTTTACGAAGTACAGTTTTGCGTAAGTGACAAATTATCACAATAGGAATAAGAAAAGAGCCAAATCATGTTTTGATTGAGGTATCTTGAGCTCTTGGATATCTGAAAAATTGTGATAGGTAAAAATCCCATAATTAGAACCAACCAACTCAACTAACTAGCCTCTGTTAAAATATCTACGCTAAGAAGTGGCTATATAAGAAAAAAAACAGATTTTTGTTTGTGAAGCTGAATATGGATTTAATGGTGATATTAGATAGCTTTTGATTACTTTGGGAAATAACCTCATTGCATAAAAATAGTTTATTTAATTTGTTTTTGAGTTTTCTGTTGTCAGATATGTTTTTATAACGGGAAATTGTTCAAGGTTCTACGAGTTCAAGTCTGGTGGTGACAGGGGTTGTTTTCATCGACCTCAAATTCTTCGACTCAATTGGAAGCGACAGAAGTTTGACTTATCGCGAGGCTTCCAAGTTGGTTCACACTAATTACTCGCGAAAATAAACTGCTTATCTGGATCGTTAGATGAAAAGTGACATGAAGTTGTAAAATAGTGCTTTTAAGTACTGAGATTTTTCTATTCTATGCTTTATCAAATAATTTGAATTTAATTGAACGTTTTATATGGATCCCACTAACTTCAATTTTAGATAATGGGCTCTAAATTTTAAAAACTTTTCGTTGAAATAAATATGTAGATTTTTTTGAGCCAAACAATTCTTGAAACTGAATGAAAAGAAGTGTAGTTAAACCTACGTGAACATTCGTTCATTGTGATTTCAAAAAGGCTGCTGCTTTACCGAGCTAAAATAATTGTGAAATTTTCTTGAAATATTTCTATCCTTTTCCGATTCTCTTAGCTAAATTTAACATAATATTAACTGAGAGGTGCTATTAACCATTTTATTCAAAAATTAGATTTTGCTCTAATTATTTTAATAGAATTTTTAGTTTTTATGGTTTTTATTTTAAGTTAATTTTCTTATTATAATTAGGTCTTTGTAACGCTGGTCTTCGAAGCAATTTTTTTTCTGTTAACCTTATTTATATGGATCAACTCTAAATTATTGGCTCAAAACTTAGTTTGGGTTGCATGACATGAGAATTCGCCAAATTTTTCTGTCAGATAAAACAAACTCACTTGTTACGCTTGCGATTATCACAGCGTTATCAAATCGAAATGTTGAATTTACGTGTTAAAGAAAATCAATCGAACCATTTGGTAAATTCTGTTATTTCATCAGCAACAGATATATTTTGAATGTCTGTTTTTTTTCGAAGTTTGTTTATTGTAGTCGGCTTACACACTTATTTTGCTAAATTTGGTATTAAAAGTATTGGCCTTATTAACTGATATTGTGCCGTTTTATGGCTAAAAAGTTTACAATGCGTGCGCGTGTGGTTTTGTGTTTGTGTGAGTTTGGAGACTTGGAATTTTTGAGTTTTTTTTTTCGACTCTGCGGTTGTTCACTTACTTTTTGTCTGCTAGATTGTCAGGCTATCTTTGTGTTAGTATCTTTTTTTATATTAAATCAGGTAGCGTAATATAATCATCGGAATGGGTCAAGTAATATATCATATTATAACCCTTCCAGTGTGAGTCGAACGATTTTAAAGTGTTTTCTATCATTGGTCCCATTAATGAGAAAAACCGCTCTGAAATTTTTGAGTTTAAATTTAATTTCGAGCGATTATAAGACATCATCGCTGGCTTTACTCGCTCAGAAGTAGACTAAAACTTTTATTTAAATAGTGAAAAACTTAGTTTTTCTTCCAGAAAATTAGTTCTGGACTTTTATTTAGCGCCTCCTTTGCAATAAATTATTTTAGAATTCAAAATTTTATTCTGCAAAAAATCAAGTACAGTTGTTAACATTTTTAAATTTTTTTCGAAAAGAACTGTTGTCAAGTATGTCTAATTCTCTAACGTTAATGTTATACCCGTTCGTTTTGTTTTCTCGTCACATGGCGCACAAAACACGACACTAATTTGAAAAAAAAAACTACATTTTTTGTAGTTTTTTTTAACATGGTCGGAACATTCTGTCCAAATTGCCCATCAACCAGCTATCATTCCTTGGTTCATCATTGATCGGATCAATTTCGTTCTGCGTGTTTAATACGCAAAATTAGGTACCCTGGAAACTGTATCCGCAAAATAAAGTACTCTGGAGATTATATGAGGTTGAGTGATTATCATATCCAAGCCCTTTCTGTGGTGATTAGGACTGCAAAAATAATCCAATTTGCAATTTTTTTCCTTGACCAGAAAAGGCGTTATAATATTTTTTGTTTTGACTAATGTTACTGACTAATTTTGAAGACTGTGCTTTAGCCTACTTTTGTTAAAATGCGTTAACTAATTTTTTAGTTACCCGTTTTTAAGGCTTAGTTGTTTCCCCTTGACGCGACACGACACATTTTGGGGAATACAAAATAAATCTCTGTGTAACGGAATTTTCTGACCATTTGCTCAGTTCCCAAATGTATTCTATTACTTGTATGAAATATTTTTATTACATGTCCTATTTTTCATTTTGCTCTAATATCTAATATAATCAATATGTTCTAATAACCAACTCGCGGACCTCTAACCACTTTCAGTGTTTTTTTTTTCAGGTTGAATGGTCATTTTGAACTCTTGAAAGTTTCGAGGTTTATCCTGGATAAATTAGTGTTGAACAGACAAAATGAGTGACACTGAAGCAATAATCCGACTGCCGCTCATTTTCCAGGTGGACAGTTGCGTGAACACAATCATGAGCGACTTCTACAACTACCATTTCATACCTTCAGTGGTGCAGGAAATATTCGCAGTTCCTGTAATTTTAATTCTCCTCGTTTGCACGTGTATTTTGATTACATGGCGAAATAATTACTTGTTGGCGTATTACAGCTCCGTTATCTCTTTTCTATGCATTCTTTTTTCGTTCGAAACTTGTCTGAAGTTTCTTAACATAGTATCAGAAAGTGTTTCCTCGAAAAACGAAAGTGGCGACCTAATTTGGCACTGGAGTCAAACAGTTTTAATCCTGTTGTTTTCTGGCTGCTTTTTAACAGCATCGTATATAGTTAACCCATTTTTGGGCGTCAAATATTGTCCAGTTTGGTTCTTTCTAGTTTACATGCCTACTTTTCTATTTATATTTCTTCCTAGTTGGGCTCAAATTATTTCATTAGTTTTGTTTTTCTCAGTAGCCCCTTTGGCACCCGTTTTTATTCTTATCAAACACGAAGGATCTGATTATTACAGGAAAGCAAGACAGCTCTTCAATCTTTCAGCTAACACAGGTCATTTTGAGTTTTTAATTGGATATCTTTTGGCAAATGTCGATCGCAATTTCGTCTTCAATATTCTGATTCTATACTGGTGCTGTCATCAAGGATACTCAACTATACCGACTTTATTCGACTATATTACGCAATACGCCGACAACTCAGGCACGAGAAATGAACAATCTTCGTTAATGCATGAACAAATTCCGCCGACGAATGAAAATATACACGATGAGAATAACCATGATTTCGCCGTTTCTCCTGCGAGTGAAATAGAAATAGTTACTATCAAATTAGTTTTTAGGAGTTTTGTGCTTAACTGCACTAAATCGTGGGCTTTGATAGCATCTACGAGTGCAGTTTTGACTAGAGTGGCGAAATTGTTGGATCGAGTTTTGTCGTTTTTACTCGAGACGAGAAATGAAGAAGAGGATTTTGGAACGTTTTGTGCTTTGCTGTACTTAATTGCTTCAATACAATCACGTAAGAGTATCTAAATTTTCAAAAATTGTTTATTTGTTGGCTTACGTTTGATTTTGAAAAAAGTCTATTTTGTTTCCATTGATATTAGTGGATAATTTAAATTTATAAAGCAATCCCTACGAAATCAAAAACCATTATTTTAGTTTAAGCTTTTACACTCCCTTGGTATATATCACTGTTTGTTTTGACAACGCCTTGCGAAAATGTTCGATCTTTTTTTGTAAGTTGACCAAATTTAGTTTGAGAAGTCTCCATAATTTTAACTAGAAAAAGACAAGTCCAAAACGCCGTTGTATTGCAATTTTTGGAGGGTTTGACAATCTATCTATCTATCTGTCTATTATCTATCTATCTGTTATCTTTTATCTATTATATAATTAAATGCGGGTTTCACTATCTCGCCTTGCTTAAGCTTTTTCAACGTATTGTTTTTGCATGTTTAGCGAATGATTTTTTGCACGTTTAAGCTATATCGTATCTTGCAATGCTTAAAAAATTTTTTCGATTTTCTAGCTTGTTTGTTTTTTTTTAGTTTGAAATTAGCCACCCAAAAGTGTGATGCTATCGGGTTACCCTAGGGGTTACAAACTGTGCCTTCAAATTTGAATACCCAAATCTTTTTTACTTTACGAGATACAATGATTCTTCGGATCTTTTCAAGTTTTTTCATAAAAATAAGAATCAAAAATTCCAGAAAAAGTGAAATTCCCAACCATGTAGTTGGGTGCTTTCAGGGTACTCTCAAGGGTTGCAAAGGTTGCCTCTGAATGTGACTGCTCAAGTCCTTTTAGTTCCCGAGATTTGACGTTTTTTATGATTTTTTCAAAGAAATTATATATTAAAAGCATAACAAAAATTGAAATTCTCAACCCTTGATTTTTGAGTGCTGTCAGAATACTTCCAGGATTTCCACATTTTGCCTTAAAATATGACTGCTCAATTTTTTTTTAATATCCGAAATATGACGTTTCTTAAGATTTTCAAAAAATTTTTATTATCTTAGATATAAAAAATAAAAAATTTAACAAAAGTTGAAATTCTGATTTTTATAGTGTTAGTTGCTGTCAGGGTACTCCCAGGCAGTGTAAATCTTGCCTCCAAATGTGACTGCTCAAATGCTATTAGTTTTCGAGATATGACGTGTTTTCAAAATTTGAAATTTCGAACCCAAAAGTGGGTTGTTCTCAGGGTACTATCAGAGGGTGCAGATCTTGCTTCAAAATTTGTTTGTTCAAATCATCTTAGTTTCTGAGATATGCCGTTTTTGTTTTTTCAATTTTTTTCTAAAATCTAAGATCCAAAATAATTTCCAAGTTCGAAATAGTTAGCACAATGGCGGGGTGCTCTCAAAGGTAACCTGAGGATGTTTGTCTGTACTCCAATAATGACTGCTCAACTCCTTGTGCTTCCTTAGATATGAAGTTTTTATCCTTTTTGAAAGTCTTCAAAAGTTATAATTCAATTAAACACTTTTCAAAATTTGAAATTTTCGACCCTTGGTGGGGTGGTCAGATTACTTCCAGCGGATGCATATATGGCCTCTCATACTAATATTTTACAATAAAAAAGTGATATTTTAAAATCAATTACGCTGGATTATGTCTCCCATTTATCATTTAGCAATAGAAAATTATTTCATTTTTTATATGGAAGGTGCAGTCGTATCCTGTCGTCTATTTCAGGGTTTTGTTATAAAAACCTTTAATCAAAACTATTTTTATCGTTCAAATGTGAAATCAAAAGCGTTGTTAGATTCTCCCGTACTTCTTTACGGTTGCATTTATTTCGCTGTTTTTTTTCATATAATTTATGTATAAGCAACTTATATTTATATTTGACTCGTGGCTTCATTAAAATTTGTGTATATTGGCGCCTCTAGAAAAAAATGTTGTTCGTATAAATTCGTTGTCATTAATTAGTACCAATGGGGAGGGGGCAGGGCGCTCACACTTCTCACATCCGCAACTGCCTATTATACCACCCTCAACCAGAGCCCTCTTTTAACTTATATCGCCAAGTTTTTCACTGTTTGCGTAGACCTGGCCTACTTGACCCCGGATGAACAATACTCTCGTTTCCTGAAGAACTGTCTGATCATGCTGGTGGGTATCCTCCACTTCTCTCACATGTCATCCCAGTCTGTAGTGGAGGCAATGGGAGCCACAAATAACAGGAGGCCAATCAGGTGCAGTTGAAAAGTGATGTCCATTGAAGTATACAATTGGAGACTTAACTTAAAGAAACCCCCCCCCCTCGATAAAAAAGTCCCTGTCACCTTCCCCCACCATAGAAGTTTTTCCTTTTCGTTTTAGATTGAAACGCTATAATGGCTAAATGCACGATTTTACAATGCAAGGCATGAAAAGTAAATGGGCTCAACCGTAAATTCATTACCATGCAAAGTTTCATTATAGAACAACGCTTGAAAATTTTTAAAAATGGTATTTCAAATGAGTTCGAGAGGTGGGGAGATATTCGGAGTTTTTTTGGGAGAGTTAATTGATAGTTGCGGCAATTTTTGTGACCTTAAGTTGTTTTTTTTTTGGGGGAAATTCGTAATAAATGGTGAAAAAATTAGGCATCATTAAGGATCTGTTAAACAGAACAGTAAGTAAGAATACACTGTTATTTATCCAGGCATATCAAAATCTACATTCTTATCATTGTGGAACTTATTACCGCCTTCTCCGTCATCAACTACGTTCTCAGTTTTCCTATAAAAACCTGGAACATTGCCGTATCCCTTTTCACAGCCGAAATCATCTTCAAAGTCTCAATGTTGATTGTTATTTACCTATTTTTCTACACCTGGGATTCATTACCTCTAAAAAAGTATATTAACCAGGATTTTGACGACATGCTGACCAACATAAAATTGTTTACAAGTTGCATTCTGTTTATGTTTGGATGTGCTGTATTTATAAATGGATGTTGCATTCTAATTTTTGATGCGGGTGGAAAATTCAGGGCTGTTTTGTTGGGCTTGCACGCATACAGTACAATTTTTCTTCAATGTCGAGACGGTTACAGAAAGTTTCAACTTAGAAGATCAGCTTCGAAAAAGTTGGAACAGCTCGAAATTGTCGAATTTATGGCGTCGGAAAATGGGAGTACAGATTCGTCAGACGAGCAGAATAATGAGCCGAATTTGTGCCCAATTTGTTACGAAAGTTTGGAAGTAGCGCTGAAAACTAAATGTGGGCACGTTTTCCATAAAAATTGTCTAAGAAAATGGATTTATGTTCAAAACTATTGCCCCTTATGCAAAGTTAATTTTGAGGAGTAAACAATTTATTTAATAAAATACTGAAGTTTAGGATAGTTTTTTAAGTTATCATTTATGTTTCTATGAATTATTTTGATTTAATTCATGTTTGGTTTTGTGTTTTTACAAGAACTCTTATAAAAATAAGCTGAACATAACATATAAAAAGGTCAACGTAACACTTCAATGCATCCTGAGAAAAGAGTTTTAAAAATGCACAATTGGTAGATTTGTTTAATGTTGATAGCAATTTAGCCGACAAAAGAGCTATTTATGACCATTATAAAACCAGGTGCATCATTTACAGGAAAAATATAAAACGAATGCAGACATTTTGCTGCTGATCAATTGCTTTCTTAACTAAAAAATGGAACGTCACATTGCGTTTGCCAAGATAAAGGTAAGAGTTTGATATCGTAGCTATCACCAGTAGCTCATTTACTTACTAGATTGGGTTAATCACTGGATCGCGGCAGTCAGTTTTTTCTCGAAATTTCTATTACAGTTGCTGTGTAAACTTTGGGGGACCAACGCTAAAGTGTTTTAAAAGGCAACTGGGGAACGCAAGCCAAAAAACAAAGCCCTCGACTAAAATATTCTATTTGAAAGATGCTTGCAAGTGGAATAATATGGAAAAAACCCAGTGTCTTTCTGCGTTTGCATCGAGTCTTATCAGTATGGACGTATCACTAATGAACCTTGACTTCGTATATTTTGTTTTTTTTTGCTTACAAATTTTACTAAGCCCAAACTTTACATGGAAAAAAAAATTTTATGCTCCCCTCCGTATCGCATAAAATGCTAAAACTCTTAGAATAGAAATTTTTGTTAAAAAGATTAATAAACTTTTTTAATGTTCTAACTGGAGTTGACACAAGTTTTGTCGGCTCAATTGCCGTTCAGTTCAAATTTTTAAATGTTCAACGCCTTCGATTGTTTGACGAAGATCGCCATTTTCATCCGCATCAGTTATTATAGATTTTGACTCGATTCTTTTTAGCTATTTTTCATTGATCCGCAATAAATTATAACAATCCGGTTTTGTAGCTTCCCCGTTTCTATTATCCTGATGAGCAAAAAGTCATTTTGTTTTTGCTTCTTTTGAGCGATTGGCTAGAATTGTTACACACTTCACTGCTATAAATTTTAATTGACAGTTTTGTGTACCATGCAGTTGCTTCGTAGCATGACAAGCCCGGCTTACTTCCAGATAATTCAAATGTCAGCCATCATTCCCAAAAAAAGTTTTTACATGAAAATGTTAATGAATTGTTCCAAAAAACTATGTCGAAAAAAGTCCTTTTCAAAAAATTGACTTTTTAATACATTTGAATGATATTTTCTTGAAGGTTACAGCCATGATTGCGTCTGATGATGTTTCCGAAATAATTATATATGACGACGTTTTATGGATAACAAGTTGCATAAGATATTTTCTGTAGGTAAAATTGAAACTTAGAAACAGAGAAAAAATTTCGACTTTAATTGAACAAAATACAGAGAAGTTCATTTTAACTCTGGAAATTAAACACTGAAAAAATCAACCATTTTCAAGCTTTTCATTTTCGCTTGTTTGAAATTTGAAAAGTTCTTGTTGGGTTTGGATTGGAACTAGCTTGCAAATGACATACTGAAGTTCTTCAATCGGGAAAACCCTCAACTACCATGCTTTTGTTAATTATCTTCTTACAGAGTTTTCACATTTCTAAGGAATTCATATTATGGACATCTTGGAGATGTCATCGTTAACTTCAGTTTTTTAGTTCTGAAATTTCGCAGCGAGGCAAGTGAAATTGTCATATTGCTCGCGATTTGAGAAAATTTTGAAAAAAGAACTTGAGACAACCTTGTCCTACTGACAATTTGTGACAACCGTTTTTCTGTTGAGCACAAGGCATAGTTTTTTGGCATGAAAGGAACTCATTATAGATATTATCAGGTTCTTTCAAATTGAGAAATTCATAGATGTGATTTGTATATGTCAAAACCAGATCATATTTATTTTTAAAGTTTATACTGAGTTTATTCAAATTTTTCGGCAATTTTCATATTGAAATTTTCATATTGCTCGCCATTTGAGAAAGTGTTGAAAAAAACTTGAGACAACTTTGTCTTAATGAAAATTTGTAGCAACCGTTTTTCTGTTGAGCACAAGACATAGTTTTTTGGTTAAAAGGAACCAATAAAGATATCAGCTTTTTCCAAATTGAAGAAATTCATAGATGTAATTTTTATATGTCAAAAGCAGATCATATTTATTTTCAAAATTTATACTGAGTTAATTCAAAACTTATGGCAATTTTCATAATAAAATCTTCATAATGCTCGCCATTTGAGAAAGTTTTGAAAAATCATAAGAGACAACCTTGTCTTAAAAATCATAAGAGACAACCTTGTCTTAAAAATCATAAGAGACAACCTTGCCTTAATGACAAGTTCAATTTGTGACAACCGTTTTTCTGCTGAGAACTAGACAGTTTTTTTTTTGGCAGAGACATAGTTTTTATAGAGACAAGACATAGTATTTATTAAAAATATTGTCAGGTTTTTTAAATTGAAAAAGGAAACTCAAACGAGATATGGTTTTTCAAAACCAGATCATATGTAATTTTTTAAATTTATACTGAGTTTAATCAAAGTTTGAGTTTATGCGTGAAATAAGTTCACAATCGCTAAAAAAATCAGGACTCAAACAGTGACACAAACCCCCCCCCCCATAAATCCAGATGTCAAATAGAGCAGTCAACTGGCATCGTTTTATAACTCAAACAATATTTTTTTTCATTCGTGGCTCATGCATGAATAAGCAGCAAGAAGTTGTTTTGGCTTCGAGACAAAAACACTACCACGTTCTTCTCAGGTCAATTTTGAGTTAAAGCTGAAGGTTTGAGTTAATTAATGGTCGCTATCTTTTTACGAGACTAAAATATTTAAACTGTTAGTTAATTTGTTAGTGCTTAGGTCATGAAAATTTTCCTGTCCCTCCTTACTTATTTTTTTTTGTTTTTTTTTTGCGGAGTCTGCTCTAGACTGAACATAATTTGCTACTTTCAAAACAAGCGGCATTTTTTCTTATTATGAAAACTTGTTCAAAAAGTTAGACGCCGAGATAATTTATTTCCCTACAAGAAGTATTCTTTTACATGGCCGTTGCGCTTTTCGCTGGTATCCCAAATCAATCAATCTTCATTCATGGCAATAGTCCGCAGCGTAAACTACCAGCTTCTGTTGTCTTGTCAGTTTGACTCTGTATAATAAGAAGCAATTAAATAAGAATAGTCTCTTTGTTGTACAGTAGAAGATCCACGAGAATCAAAGCTTACGTTCAGAAAAAGCGTTCTCACATAGACATCGATGCACTTGCTGGTATCCGAATCGCTCCCTTGAAGCCGTCGACCTAGTTGCCGTTGAAGTTTGTCAGCTGTTACTATATTCTATACAAGCACCAATTACAAGCACCAATTACAAGCACCAATTACAAGCACTAATTACAAGCACGATTACAAGCACCAATTGAAATACGATGCGCTTTTATTGCACAGCAGAACTCAAATAAAAAAATTTCGCTAGCTCTTTTTGTTTTATCCAAATCAATGCAAGCATGTTTAATTCGTGAAATGAGCAATGATTCAAGTGTTTGTTGCTAACAAGACTGCTCATATCAGGGCAAAGCTGTGAATAATCCAATTGCCCATTGCAATTGGAACGTTAAGGAATAGTTTTTGCTTAAAGTCTTGAATATAGGTTTTGCCTTGAATAGTTTTTGCTTGAAGTAATATTGACAAATTATAATTTTTGGGCTGTTTATAATAATTTTCAAGCGTAAACATTCGAATCGAGTCTGAAAATAGTAAGACCAATTAGCTTGCCTCAGTTCATTTTGGAAAAAATTCTTCGTGCGGGATATTTCGCCACGCGTAAATAAGGAGCATTAAAGTTTTAGCATCAAAGTATAAAATGAGCAGCTTAGTTCGACTCATTACACAACGACCGAAATTCATGTTATTATAGTTCATAGCACGTCCCTGATGAGACCACGAAGATCAAGTGAGCGATTACTTGAAAGTGACGTTCTTTTGATAAATGAATAAAAAAATATAGAATAAAAAGACGTCTGAATAAAAAATATATAGAATATATTGGATTTTGATTGTCTGTCTCTAAAAAAGTTTTTTTTAAATAATAAAATCAACTAGTATTGATTAAAAACGAAAAAAAAACTTAATGTGCTGTCAAATCCATGAAATCCATTTGAATCTACTATAATCAAAACTTCTGATCATAAAATTTCCATTTTCAAGAAAAAGTTCTCACGATACAATTCCATAGAATTCTATACGCACAGAATACTGTATGAAATCTCTGTTATAGGGTTTTTGCATACATTGAAATTGTATAATAAGCATTTTTTCATGAGCCAATAAAAAAATTTAATTAAATTTCTGAAAATTCTTACGTTGTAATCGTAACTGAACACAAGTGACAATGACCTTGGCTTATTCAAATCTAGAGTCACCAAAGGGTGGACGGCCTTGCATTTATAATGTATACGGAACAACCTGAAATGGCTCAAAGTGCATCATTTTGTTATATCAAGAAATTTAAATTAATCTGGCATTGATCAAGTCAAACATAAACATGTCATTGAAAAAAATGTGTTTTGAGAGATTTTGAAAAAAAGTTATCCGGCTGAAAGGAAAAAATCTAACATTCCTGTATCCAGGACTACGTTATACACACAAAGATATAAAATTTGCTTGTAATTAAAAAAAATGTTTATTTGAGTACATAATTTGTCTTGCGGTTTAAAAAAACGAACGTTTTTTTTGGGAAGTTTAGAAGTAACTTGAAAAAACTTTTTTTGTCGCCTATCCTATATTTTCCATATATGAGAATTGTATGACAAACTTTTTTTCCAAAAAAAATGTATAAAATACATTGTTATCAAATTTTTTGAAGTTCATTAACACTGACTGCTTTTTCTGTCATTCTTAGGTTGTTCATTCTTAGATTTTTTGGTTTGATTTGGTTTATTTCCTTTGTTAATGTTTCATAAGAAAGAATTGATGAAATGTTTTCGGAATTTCGAATTTTGTTTTAAGCTCCATAATCCTGCTGCTCAACTAAACCGCAATACTACAAACGAGCAATCTAATCAAAAACAACAGCAGTTAGCCGAGAAAGACGGAAACAACAAAGAAAACAAAAAAGAACATAAAGCGCGCAAACAATCTCCTGAGAAAAGCACTGTCGGGCAAAATAAAACTCAAGCTGAAGATTCGAAAACGGAACAAAATAAAGGAGCAAAACCAGGTACTAAACAGGGTGCGACTTCAGCTGCTACTGGTGACCCTTTGACCTCAATTGCAGTAGTTGACCCCGAAAATGACCAATCACGCCCTAATTCTTCAGGCGAAGGGCCTAAGGAGATCCCGCCTGCAGTTGAAGAGTTCTTTGTTGTTAATTTAGACTGCTCGTTTGTGCTTTTGTTGGAACACTTAAAGGCAAGAATAATTTTCTTCTTTTCCAATTATATCGTATTTTAGAGAAAATAATTTGTCATAAAAAGCAGTTACTGATTTGATGGATATCTGCGAATTTTGCAAATTATTTGCAATAACTTTTGTGCAATGATAAAATTTTGCCAAAAACCATATGAAGACCAAAAACCAACAAGTAAACCACAAAAAACCAGTTTTTACTGCAGTTTTTGCTAAAATATTCAAAAAGTATATTATTTTGCAGAGTAAATTACTAACCGATCAAGGTGCTATCTGCGACCTTGAATTGATAGACGAAAGTGGACAGATAATGAACATTGCTGACTTCTCCCCCAAAGAAAAGGGCTACAATCTACTGAAGGAGAACTGCACATACTACCCTGTGATCATCAAGAAAAACAGCGACGGCTCTCTCAGTAATTTCGATATTTACGGCAAAGAGGTAAAAATTGTCATTTATAGTTTAAATTAATAGGTCTGAGGTTCGAATTCAGTCAATATCTTACCATTTTTTAAAAAGTGTCGATAACCTTATCATCGAAGTGGTATTTGAAATAGCCATAATGGTCAATTTGCGGTTTTAAAACGACGATTTAGAACTTGTATGCTATCATGTGACTTTATCTGTTTGTATTTGGCATATTTTTAAAACATATCTATTTCCAGTGGCGTGCGCAAGAATTTTTTGACGGGGAGGTTTCTTACAAAATTTGATTGACCTTTTTTTATTAGTCAGTCAACAATTACGAATTTTTCTGTTTCTTCGGATATTTATCTTAGAGCAACCATAATTAGGATCATGTTCTGCTTCGCAGTCAATTTTTTGGCAAAAAAATAGTCTAGCCACATTTACAAAGATAGACCAAAAAGTTGCTCTCCACCCAGAGTTAAGTGTTTTTCAGCGTTTTTAGAATTTACGGCTAGTCGGCCAAAATAGATTCTAGTAAAAAAGCGCCTGAAGACCATTGTACCAACGTGTCGTGGAATTCCATTTTGCGTGACGTCCTAAGATAAAATTTTTCACCAGAATTAATGGTGAGAGGGGATAAATTAAAAGACCGGAAAAGTTAAAAGGTTACTCATTCCTTTGTCTGGGCTTACTGTCGGTATTTTATACCGTAGGGTTAGGAGAAATCAAATTAATTTTGGAAATAGGTTAGATAACAGTCAACTCTTTACCTGCTGTAGTGACTGCTATGTTCACCTTCCATTTCGATTTCAAACCTTGATTTTTTGGCCTTTTTTGTTGTCATCGTTAATGCATTAAATCAAAACCTTAGTTTTTGGTTTTCAGAAATTTAGTCTGGAAATTATTACCAAACTAACCACTCAAATCAAGAAATGTGTCAACAAACTGTCCAAAAAGAAAGCAGCCGACAACGCAGACGCGGCCGAATCTCTGGAAGCAGCAGCTGCCATGTCATCCACTGGAAAAGTTAGGAAGAAAAAAACAGACAAGGGTGCCACCGAATCCTCCGGATGAATTATGGACTTAAACTGCTCCAGTAGTTTTCAAACAGCCATTTATGTATCGTTTCAAAGATCTACCAACTAATTCGAACTAAGTTATGAATTTTTGAGTACTATCTTGAATGCGGATATTAAAAGTAGCAGATTTGCGCTTACCTCGGAGTGAAACTTATCTTTCTTTATCAGCTATAGTGTCCGCGCTACCGAATAAACGAGCATTTGTAATCTAAACAATCAGCATATAGCAAAAATCAAATACTTACCGAAGAAGCTGGTATAGTGATTAGTTTAACAGTTTATAACTACAAAAATCAAGTATACTAAGTAACCACTTTTCGCAGGATCACAACACATTGACGTTGTCCGTCCCTGTTAAGGGTTTGGCTCAAACGAAGAACTGTATATAACATATGTTAATTCATTGTAGTAGTGGTTGATCATTTTCAGATACTTAAAGCTAGCAATCAAGGTCACAGACTAGACATGGATACTGCCAGTTTATGATTATTGAATTCATCATTCAACATTCTCCCCTCTCTGAACGAAGTATAAGTATAGTTGAGGGCCAATGTTAATCTATTTTGATCAGTTGTCTGTCATTGATGTATCCTCCAATTATCTAACTAAACTTAAAATGGCTTCGTACCAGTTAACTAAGGGTATATAAGCTTCGCGCCAATAGCCTAGTACCAAATAACTTAATGTACATAAGATTTTTGAGCACCGATTAACTTAGGCTACTTGAGACTACCTGATTTGGTAGTTTGAGTTCAGCTGAGTCTTTCTATCCGATTGCCATCCTTTTTCTGCACTCTTTGACTGTTCCGACTACCATGCTGGTTGTTAGTTTGTCCTCACATGCAACTTTTGAAGTGGGTGCTCATTGTAGTGGGTACATTATGAAACTGTAATCCTCATACTTGACCATCGACCCACCACAACAAAATCTCTCCTTAGGTAATTTCACATTGTTATGAAATCTTAAGGAATCCACCGCTGCTTTGACATATTTACTATCCGTTTATACCGTAAATTTGTCGAATTTTCCCATGAAACCTGAGTCGAAGATGGTAGCTTTCCTATCTACGCGTTCTAATTTTGTTACTCTTCGCTTTTATGCTTCCGTGTCAACTAAATCTGAATATCTGTATTTGTTCATCCTTCTGACTTTGACTGCAAGTGAATTATTCAGACGCTTTTACCCAACTTGTCAGATACTTAATAATCGTTTGTAGCTCCTATCGCCATAGAATTCCCATTGGAGCATCTCATATAACTTCCGAAAGTTCATGGCATGAACTGGCGTTCTCTTATACTACTTCAATAGGTTTTCAGTGCACGCATCACGCATCATGTTGGCATTGTGTTTACTGAGCACATTGTTCAGCCTTTTTGCTAGATCTGGTGTAATGCGTTTAGTCATCCATTGATGTTTTTCAATGAGCGACCTGGCCATCACAACAAAACGTATGTCACTGCCATCTCATTGTCCGCTGCTGACATGTTGTCAAATTCCTATGTCTGCACTGTGCCTTTTAGCACAGGTCTGTGTACCAAGTTATCATTGTATGCATTCACACTAAGTCCCAGGAACTCGAAATTCCGACGTCTAGTTGTAACCTTTTTGAATCCTTCCAGAGAATTTAACTTCAAACTGTGGCGTGCTACCCTATATTATGTCATTTGAATGAACAATCAGCAAAACTATACATGCTCCAAAATCGTTTTTCACTAAAAATAGGAAATAGTATGTAACGCACTCGTTGATTAGATTCGCTTTTAGTCGAGTGGCTTATTTTTGATACCACAGGAAATTTCCAGCAAATCGATTCTTGTATTAGCGCTTCTGGTGTTAGGTTCACGAACACTTCTCGCATAATTTGTTAGTTTTTAATTTGTTAGTCTTTTTTTCGCGTCGATTGTCATTGTTTCCCAATTCATCAATTGAATTATTGTCAATTCAAAGCTACATGCTAATTTTGAAGCCTTCGGATCAAATTTTTTGAGCACGAGGCTTTATTTTGTGCTAGTTGCGTCTGATTACTAGCCCTAACGTTGGTTTCTTACCACTGTCCATAGCTACTTTCCAGGGGTAAGCCCATCTGGTATTCGGCATCTTTTTTGCATGCCTCTTGCCTCATGTTTGCAGCAGTGCTCCACAATCCTGAATAAATTTTAGCCTTCCAACTGCTCTCTTTGTGACTGAAGAATTGCGTCTTAATGCTCCCTTCAATCTAGTATGCCTACCACTTCCTTGTGTTTTTTGAGATTGGGGATTGGTGACGCTATCGGCTCCCAATATCTCGTCGTTTTTAACTCTTTCTATTCGGTTGCTCGTTGTTGCTACTGAAATTTTGAGTATTGTTCTCAAAGTCACAATCTTCCCAAACAAGGATCAGTTTTCATTTGTTTTCCACTTTAGTTGCTGCTCCGTTTGAGCTTGCGCGAAAAAATCTGTCAATTTTAACAAAGTTGCCGTGGATGATTCTGATATTGCCGAACCTGACTCCTTGGTCCTGCTTGCACTTTCCGGGTCTGTGACCCCACTACTATCTATACTCGAGCTGTCTTTAATAGGTGTCCATCTATCGCTTTCTCTCCCATTTCCGTTTCAATACGCCACTCCCTTTTGTCATCCGCTGTGGTTTTTTTTCTGTGTTTCTTGTCTCCGTGTCAAGCCCTGGGCTTGGTTCTGTCTCACTTTTCATCCTCTCTTTGCGAAATCTCACTTTTCTTGGTTCACTGACTGGCCCATCTCTTTTGTCCGTGATTGCTTCTCAACTCCCCTTCATCGAAATTCTCATCATTGATGTAGTTGGTATTGTTTCTCCGCTTTCGCTTTCTTCCAAGATCTCCTTCTCTTTTTCCATCTCTTGATTCATTTCTTTTTCTTCCTGCTTGTCTCTTTTGATCAATTGTCTTTGATCACATTTCTGTTTTGATTTTTTTCTTTTCGCTGTGTTTCTCTGACCGTTTCTATAGTTCCACTCGTTCTGAACACTTTTTTTATTTTCGTTTATCGTCTTTTGTCATTTCACCAATCTTTGGAAGTAGTCTTGCTTCATCCAACAACACCAGCCTTAGCGCCATTCAACCTATTTCCGTTCTGGCTATTGGATATTGCTCCAAACTTCAAGATTGATTGGTTGTTCTACATGCTTTGTCGCTTTCTGTTTTCAATCTTAATTCTTTTCAATCTTAATTCTCCCTCTCAATCGTTCGAAGGTTTTATTCTTGAATAGTAAGCCTATTTAAGTCTTTACCATGTCTGCATAAGCATAACCACGTTCTTTTATAGGTCGCAACAATTTTTGCCGGTCCCATCCAGTGAATTGCTTCCAAGTATGTTTGTGATAACGAATCCAATCCCCCACTCGGTAGATATGCTCAATTGTTTTTCCCATTTTGAATCTTTGTTGTTCCGACTTTCGATACGAAAGTAACAGAATATTTTTTGCCTGTGGCCATTTTTCGTAAAGTTAGGGGGTATAAAAATTGCCATTTCGGCCAATTTGGGACAATTAACGCGCGATATATTTCGCGCTATTAACGCGTAAGCGGAGAGTTAATCCGTCTTAAAATTGTTCCAAATTGGTTGAAAGAAGCTTATTTGCCATAATTGATTTGTTAAAAGGAGCGAAATTTATCCTTTAGTACTTTATTTGGCGTGTGGGGGTATGATTTTCATAAAAAGTTTCAAATTTTATAAAAACGTTTATTATATTTAATTTATTACAATCATGTTTTTGATGTTTTTACTGCTCCATAAAACCTTAAAAGGCAGTCGGAACAATCAGGGCTTCGCCTTGATACGAGCAGTTTTGTTGTTCCGATTTTCGATACGAAAATAACAGAATATTTGTGCTCGGGATGGGTTTTTTTTTCTTCAGTCAAATTTTGACTTTTAACTAACATTTTTGACGGAATTTTTTATATTTTTCAAAAAGTATTGTTGTCTTGGGCTCAAATTTGAAAAGATATTTTACCTGTGATCAATTTTCGTAAAGTTATTGGGGTTTAAAGATTGCCATTTTGGCCAATTTGGGACAATTAACGCGCGATATATTTCGCGCTATTAACGCGTAAGCGGAGACTTAATCCGTCTTTGAAATCGTTCCAAAATGGTTGAAAGAAGCATGTTTGCAATAATTGATATGTTACAATGAGCGAAATTTATTCTTTTGTATTTTATATGGCGTGTGAGGGGATGATTTCATAAAAATGAATTCAAATTTTAGAATTGTTTTTTTTTTCATTTTATTTTATAACATTTAATTTTTTGATGTTACTACTGCTCCACAAACCTTAAAAGGCAGTCGGAACATTCAGGGCTTCGCCCTGATACGAGCAGTCTTGTTCGCCTTTATTTTCTGTTTGGATAAAATTTTCGGCTCTTTTTCCTTTTCCCCCCACCTGCAAAATTTGTAGAGTTTTTTTTCTGTTCAAATTGTCGGATTGTTACAAAATTTGGCATACCGATTGATTAGGACATGACAAACATATTTGGTCTTCATTATCAACCTTGTAAAACCACGCGTTACACCATAAAACTGATGCTTATGTGAGGTGGGGGGAAAAAGGAAAAAGAGCCAAATTTTCTCTTAATCTTTGAATTTCCGTCAATTTTTGAATCTCCCAGGCTCATTGCATGGTGTGCAGTTTTTTTATTATGTTCTAACAGTTTTTCTAACCTTTTTTCTAAATGTTTTCCTCCATTCCTCTTTTTCCTGTTTTTCAATGAATTTATTCCATTTTTCTTCACCCGCGTGGCAAAATCTTCAATCCCAGTCTTTTATCAATTTCATCTTTTTCGCTTAAATCACTCTTTCAATCCATTTTTTTCCCGCTGTCATTTGTAACTTTGTAACTTTCATCCGTCACTTAAGACGATATTTCCTCACATCCCGCCTTCTGCGGCCATCTTTTCCTCTTCGCGCCTTGACTGCTTGTTCCGGCGTTTTATTCGGAAAAATTTAATTGAACGTTCCATATCAGTCGCCTCAATCCCCATTAGGATTGGGTTTTGTCGTCAATCACATTGAATTTGAACGTCATATGGTTTCCCGCATTCCTTACCGGAAGTAACTTATCGGATGTGTTTTGCTCTAATTACTCCACCTCTTCCAAAATCAAATGTTTCATAAGTTTCCTTTTTTTCTCTCATTCCTTTAAGTCTGTGCTTAGTCTGATTCATTTTGGTCTCATTTTTAAATGAACTAGTTGAATTTGCTGCCCCTAAATCTACGAGTATCTCTATTTTCAGTACTTCTCCATTTTCTGGAAACCTTTCTTTTACCCAATTTTCGGGTGTGAATAAAAAGGTAGATGTATCAATTTTGTTCTCCGTGTCGACATTGTTTTCTTCATAGACCTGCTCTTCTTGCTTGGTTATATACTCTTCATTCTCCTGTCGTTTAGAGAACCTGGAATCGCCTCTTCCCGGAATTAGACGTCTTATCCTTGTTATGTTTTCCTCGTCTGATGTTCCCACGGTTGAAGCCTCTCGGGAGGTAGGGCTGTCTAGAGTACTTAATTCAGTACTCCACAAAGCGCAATCAGTACTGCAAAAAGATGTTTGACGTTTCGTTGTCGGATACGCTAAATTTT